TTTCTCCAAAAATCTCTTTAAAACACCAGATGTTTGAATAGGAAATGCCGTAAACAAGGACCTCGTCTGCTTGGAAAGGCAACTGGAAACAGCTCATCACAGATGTGTTCTGGGTGTTCAAAGGTACCACTTGCCATAAAATGTCTTCTTTTTTTTTTCCTTTTTAGAAAAATATTTCAAACAAGTACCTTAATGTGACTCTTACTAGAAGAGTGCTTCTTTCATGGCAGTAAGTATGGTCCTGTCATGTGACACACATGACCTTTTTTGACAATTAAAAATAACGAACCTTGGATTGAAAAATATATTGAAAATAGTTTTAGAGATGAGCCAGTTGGCAGAACACAACCCTCAGTAAATATCTCAAAAAATATTTCACCTACCCACACAATCTCCCTGTGAGACTGTTCTGGGAAAGATGTTACACATTGCTCCACAGCTATTTGTGCTTGGTGATAAAAGTAGAATAGTGGGGTTCTACAGACTGTGGAAAGATTAGTAGAGGGGGAAAATAATGAAAGACAAAACGAGTTGGTTGTTTGTTGGCAAAGTTCGTTGGTTGTTATGGCTTGTACAAAGCTAGCCAGGAAGGACAGAGTGATCCCAGAATTATTCTATGTGCTTTAATTACAATGAAATCCAGCAGTTAATTTCAGCAATCTAATGTAGCTCATTAACACAACTACATGTCTGCACAGATAAACTTAATATAAAATAACATACAGTAATTTTACTGATCATTTATTTACAGGAAAAATGTATCTGTTGTAGGTGCCAATTGATTTTTTTTTTTTTCTTCTGCTTGCTGGGACACTGCCTTGAGCCCAAAGAAATGAAGGGGTTCTGGACCATACTGACCAGACTGTCTGGGATATCTGAGAGGCAAAAAGAGCTGGCATTCAGGGTGTAAAGACAAGAAAAGGCACCAAAAATAAAGGCCAAATTACGAGAGTACAGCTCCCACAAAAAACTTGTTGCAGGCCACGGTGGCCACTGTTACATAATCAATGGTCAGATTTTGCCCCTAGAGCTGCATTGCTGCAGGAGAAGAGTGCCTGGACTAGAGCAGGTTGTTGGGTTTACGTTGTAAGGAGTAGCCTTCCTGCAGACGAATTACTACTGAGCTCAGCAGACACACTCCAGGCACAACTTCCTTCATAAATGAGGGCAGTACTGTAGAACTTCAGATAAAATTGTGATAACAGTTTTCAGACATGATAACAGTTTCCAGATTTTCTTTTAAGCCATGAAATACCAATGTTTTTTAATATTAATCTTTTTTCTATATTATGATCAAGAATAAAATCTATATATAAGGTCCTAAAGAAAAAAAAATGCAGATAAGATCTAAAAATTTCTGTAATTTTCTCCATATTATTAGCAAAATAATTCACAGGATTCTCATTCATTAAGGTAACCCAGGACTTCCCACTGTAGGGCTCTCTCTGTTGCTTAACACTTTGTCTATATATGCTTAAGATGAAGTTTCCACTGTAATTTCTAAAATTTAATTTCAGCTACAGAATGACCAGTCATATTTTTTGAGTAGAGAATAACAGTAAAATACTAAATGCTTTTTTTCCATGCTGAAACAAAATAAATTAAAAAAAAAAAAATCCTGTCCATTAGTGTGCTCAAAGACTGACGTGAGTGTAATGCAAAAAGAGCTGAATTCAAGTTCCCCAGGCAACCACCACTTTGGCATTTTCTAACCCAGTTTCCCACTTACTTTTCCCTTAATACCCCTATGAGACAGCAAAGTACAAAACACATACACAACATTTAGCATAGGGTATTTCTCCTTACAGTTTTCTTGAAGCAGAGGTGTACTTATAAGTGATTGGAGGCTTCAGGGCTTGGTTAACTCACTGCTGGAGGCCTATGTGCGGGTTTGAAGTCTTAAGAGACGGCTAGTGCACAGTAAATCCACATGCAAAGGCCAATTTGAAATTAAAAATTACACTTCAACCTGGGAAGGTGGTACTTACAGTGCCTTGGGTATGTTGTATCAACAGCTTCAGCAGGTGTAAGGGCAATTTTGGTGGGCTTTTTCTTATGGGCATTTTGTCCCACAGCAGCATGGGTAGGAGAAGGAAGAAAATCCCACTGCCATTTCCTGTTCATTACCTCTAAGGATAAACAAAATACCAGAACACCTCACACAATGGCAAGTCATGGACATTAACCTAACATTTATGCAGAATATTGAGAAGAAGCAAGTTTTGGCAAGATGAGGAGAAAAGATTCTGATGTTTGCAAGTGAGTTTGACTTGATCTCAAAAAACATGACGTGAGAAAAATGTGGGTCTTTACACTTGAGGGATGTGAACAACTTCTCAATCCTGTATCACTGGCAAAATTTGATTGAAGGCAATTAAAAGCAGCAGAGAGATAAGGCTAGATAAACCTTTATCCTGAATCTCTAGGTAAGCCAGACTCTGGAGGCTGATGTACACAACAAGAGTGTGCTGTTTGTCCCACTGCTTGAACGAAATGGCTTTTATTTTCTGAGCAGAGACCCTACTCAATCACACCACCATGTGGTCAAGCAAATTGCTCACATGAAAGGGGGAACTAGCATCCTAATTTTTAATTTTCCCACCCAGAGAAAGAGGGATCAGGTCCTGGGAATTTGCTTCATAAACTGGAGGCAGCATGGAAGGAGCTGGCCATGGAGTGGCACCACCATTTGGCAGCACAGGTGCTGTTTATAGCAGGAAGGCACTGGCAGCTCCTTGGCATGCTCCTCATACTGCACGTCTGTGCATGTGCACCGGGCTGCCTTTGCAACTGGAGCAAGAGGCTAAATCTGTCATTGTCTGTCTCTCACTTGACTCCAAATGCTGTCTGCTGGCAAATGCTGACACACAATGCCTGAATGAGGGCTCTGTGGAGTGCGCACTTGCATCGCCCAGTCCACCCTTCTCATGTTTCCGTTCCGATGAGATTTAGAACAGTCTTTCAGGAGCTATAGGTGTTAGATGAGATGATAAGTCTCATCTAGCACAGCTGGGAAATCTCTGTTTTAGGATCCATATAAGAATTATCAATCAACAACTGTTCAGATTATAGCAAAGGCAGTTTGTTCACGCTCCCTCACACAAAAATATACATATTTCCCAATGCCTCTAGGGGTCTCCTAGAAATTATAAAAATAGGAGAAAGCCTTTCACAATAGGCTCATTGTGACTGACGTGCTACTAAAGTGTAGCAGATTGAAACTGCATGGCATGTTGTGCCATAATGTCTGTATCTGGATTATTCCCTCTTTCAGCAGCTATCAAATATGGTTTCATCTTCTTTTTTTTTTTTAAAGTAGTTTTTGCTGAGTGAAAGTAATACAGTCCCTCTGAAGCTTCTGAGGCTTATAGAAAAGGTACTTTATTTTTTCATTTGTGTGCACACATTTGGGGTTCCTACAGTTTGTGCTCAATCAGTAAAACTGAATGGAAATAAAAATGAAAAATGAAAGATGTAAAGCTCACGGATTTATTTTTATCTTGAGAACCTTCAAGAAGGAAGATTTTTCAGCCTCTAATCTTAATGATACAGCAGTTAGAAGGAGTGATTTTTCTCTGTGAGCTTTACACATTAATTAAGCTGTATTGTATATTTTTAGTTGAACTAGTCCTTGTTATTACCACCTCTGTGAATCTCCCCTTAAAAAAAAATATTCTAGCTGCAAAACAATGCTTGATTTAAACAAGGCAATTAGAAGAGTCCGCAGTCTATATGAGAATAACTGATTTTATAGTCTACTTAGAGCAAAATCTTTTACAGCAAAGTCATGATCTATCTGTTTATAAAATAAGTGTTTTTAAAGAAGGGATTACTTTTAGATAATTTTGTGTGGGCATCCTAAACACTCAAATGCAGCCACAGATGTTCTACATAACAGATACAAATTTACAACGAAACACAGTTCAACATATGTGCATTTATTGTCCAGATCTTTTTAGGCTGTCAAATAGTTTTCAAACAGTATTCAGCACATCTCTCAAATATCTCAGTACTGTGAGGTGACTGGTGCAGCATTTCTCCTTTTACTGAAATAACAAGGTCAAAATGTTCCATTTTGTGTGAATGCTCAATATAAGACAACTGAAACCTTATTTCAGAAAGTACTTAGCGTTCTATAGAGCCTCATGTTGAAAGCAGAGTTCAAGGATCTTCCTGCAATTTAAAGGTCTCTGTCAAGCACAGGGAGCAGGTGCCAATCATCTGTGAAAAATGTAATCTAGGTCCCCGTGGCAAAGGCTGAAAGAGCCACATCTCTATTGCAGTGCTTCCAGAGAGAGGCTTCTTTCTTTCCCTTAGCCAGCCTCACTGCACAGCCTTTCTGGACTCAGCAGCAAGGGATGTACGGCTCCTGCACAAAACAAATTTTTTAGCTATATACTCTCTGTACATGGGCTCATCTTAATTAAAGCAGCCATTTGAAGTCCTCCCTGCAACTTATAAATTTTCAGCTTTTCAGCCCCTGAAGTGGTCTGCAAAAAGGTGCAGCCTAAACATTCTTTGTGTCACTGGCCATTGTGTACTGCTCTGCATCACGGCAGTCTGGTGACACGCCTAAAGGAGGCACCACTTTAACAGACCCACATCAGTAACTGCAGCAATGGCTGGTGCTGCCTACAGCTCCTCTCATTCTTCTACAAGCAGCTTCCCCCCTCTCATGCCATTGCACCACTTGACTCCACAGTGCATTTGATCACCTCTCTACCCTTTGAAAGAACCATGCATTTCTATTTCACCCATTTTCCTGACTACTACCATACCTACTACCATGTATTAACAGTAACAGGACATCAATCTTAAACTAATTTTTTTTCATAGTTTTCATAGTTCTTTGAGTGTTTGGGTTGAACTAGAAGCAATGATATGAGGAATCACTCCACACCTCCTTAGCACAAATTTTCTTCAATCAAAAAGAGGAATTTAAAAATATTCATACAGACATTACAAGAAAGATGAGAAAAAGAAAGGAAGTGTTTTATTGCTGTCATATTCAACACACAGCTTTCCATTCACAACTCCCTAAACCAGAAGTTACAGCCTGAATGCAGAACTCCGTTTTGTGCTACTGCAGAAGAACAGGGCCTCTGAAGAAAGAAGTACCCAAAATGTCAGCAAGCCATGGGCCACTTTGGTGAACCACAGCTCTACAATACCCAAAGCCATAACTACGATTGCAACCAGCGGTTGCCTTGATACTGTTTCAAAAAAAACATTCAATATTCCTACTGGATTTTCTTCTGTGAGTGGCACCTATGGTACCTGCTACCATTTTACTTATGTTGTCCTCATTGGTGTGGTGTGGTTGGACATTGCACGCACACTGGAATAGGAATGCTCATTTTTATGGGGACTTGTATGGGCTTTTTATTTGGGCCAACTGTTTTCTTTCTATCCTATAGCAGTGATGGGAGTTCTCTCATGCTCTTCAGAGACAGGTGCTTCATTTTATATATGCCTGAAGTTGTGTTTACTGTTGGGAAATATGCTTCCTCCATGAAAAATCCTGTTGGGACCAGAACTAAGACAAATCAATCATTCCAGAGATTGGAAATGGATGTTGGAAGCAGAGCTGTGTAAAATTATGAATTCCAAGACTGAGCAGATAAATCCAGCCTCTGATTTATTTAGCAAGTCTTTGCATCTCTGAGCCTGCACGACAATTTGGGTTCAAGCCTCCACAGGGTTACTGGAGCAGTATCTCCATACATATCTAAAGAGCCTCAGAGTGGTTTCCTCTCATGAAATTTTTTCCTCTGAAAACATACAGATATTTTTTTGTTTGAATTTAAACAAGTTTCAAAGTGCATTCCTGGCAATTAGCTGCTGATTAGTGAAGGCATTGCCTTGTGAGTTCTGTGGCAAGTAATGTATTACACAGTGACACAGAGAGCACACATACGGTCAGTAGTACCCATTCGACATCTGTGGAGTAACAGTCCCCAAAACAGAAATGGGGTCAGTTCAAGACAGTGATGCAAAAGAAAGGCGTGGAAAACACCCTAATTTTGAAAGCCTGTGGTACAAACAAATTACCAAAGAGTAAGAAATCTGCTCTCTGAGCACAATGGTGTTCAGAAGTCGTTCCTACTTCTCCTTTTCTTGATGAATTCTTGGTGAACCTGTGATTAAACAAATAGGGAGTTCATTTAGAAAGAGCATTATGAGTATGCCATGTTTCCCATTAACAACTCAGTCACAATGAATCAACTCTTCATCTACATAATTCCAAACCTTCCTCAAGAATTACAGTAATTCAATAAAAAGATAAAAGTAGAATTAGTATAGACACTAAGCAGTGTGAAGCCCTGCTCTCATTACCTAGGCCATTTGCTTTCCAACTGTCCAAATCCCATTGCTCTCTTTTGGTTTCCACCATTTCAATCAGGCAAGCAAACATTTTAGACACCCTGAAGGGTACCTATCATACTAAATACCAACATACTGAACACAATTAATATAGTACCTCTTGACACCAATGCCACTCAACACATTTGCTAAATTGCTCTTAACATGCCAAGTGAACAAGCAAAAATAACTCAACTCCAAAAAATCTGTACTTAAACTGGTACTGTGTCCCCCCTGCCATTATTTCCTATGTATTTTTAACATACATCTTCTATAGGTTAAATAAATAATTACTTTCATTCTTGAAGTGATTTGGAAAAGGTATTTGTGGAAAAAGTAAGATTGCAAGAAGACAAATTATTGCTAACAATGAAGAAATTTGCATTAACTAATTAGCTATGTTTATGTCTGCCAAACACGTAAGATTCTGTTATTGACCCTTTGAACCTTGAATTTCTGATGACTTAAAATTTACAGGAGCATTTCATTTTCTTGTCTACTATTGGTAATGTTGAATAAGTTGCACCTAGCATAGTCATAAATGAGATAACTCAGGAAAATTACAACTGCTTTTTCTTACATGTCAAGATAACAAATACAAAAAAAAATTCTTATTTAGTATTTGACCATTTTAGTCAAAGTAGGAGAGCAATTTTCTTTGCTCCTTTTTAATAGGAAATGGGAAGGTAATTTTGAAATCTCTGCTTTTACTGAAACCAGTGTGCAGCATCTTCATTATTCAGTCATTGCTGATTAAGTTAACTCTGGCTAAAGTATGAGTCATTCACCACTATACAAATTTTTGTGCTCTTATGTTACATGAAGCAGAATAGAAAGAAAAAATTGTTCAAAATATTTTAGCACTTATTATTTGCAAGACCTTAAACTACAGTGAAGCACAAGGAATAGACACCAATGTTACAGCTTGGCCCTCAGGCTGGCTTTTAGCCTGTGTGCTCCACACAAGATTTCAAACAATACTAAGTAATGATGAAAGAAGACTACATTTTGAGAACCTCAAGTAACTACTACACCCAATTCTCCTAATTTTTGAGGTATCGACGTATTGTCCCCTGTTATTTTTGTAGGAGCAGAGGTGTTAACAGCATGAGGTACTCTTTCTGTTTTGGGTAACAATAAAGATTGTTTCAACATACTGCTCACCCCTTTGAATGAAAGACCATTAAATTTTACCTAGCTGACTTTGTAAGAAGTCTAAAACCAGGGATTTTAAACTCTAAAGAGTGTCCTACTAAAGCGTATTTTCTAAATAGTCTTTCAGTCTAGAGCCAAGAACAGCAGGATGTGGAGTATTAGAAAAGAAACACCATTTCCTTTGACAGCTTCTCCAAGTGATTCATCCCCCTCCCTCAAAGAAAACACAAATTCCCCTTCCTACTTGAATCTGTCTGACTTTTGGTTCCAAACATTTGCTCTTCCTTCTGGTTTGTCTCATGAGGGTCAAGCACTCTGCCTTCACTTCTCAGGAAGCTGCTGTTCTCTCTCATTATGTTGCTTTCTTTGATGATCTAGATGTATTATAGTAAAGGCACTCACATTAATGCATTTTATATTCCACATTCCGAAGGAATTTTGTTTTATTGTTCCTTATTCCTTAATTCCTTTTTCAGAACTGGACTACAGAACTGTGTAAAATACACAGTGTTCCATAACCAGACATACACTTCCCATTTTCTCCCACTCAAGATTACTCACTTCAGAAAAGCATGTACAGATGTTTTAGGGATGGTATTACTCACTGATAGATTCTTCTGAGTTCATGTCATCTGCAACATCCAGATTTTTTTCAAAACAAGTTCCGTTTGGTTCTTCATTCCTTTTTTCCCCTTTGGAATACAGAAATTACATGTATTTAAATAAAATACAAAGTAGGGTCATTAAATTCAATTTTTACTGTTTTTGCAGTCTCTATCATCTTACAGCCAACATTTTTTTACCATCATTTTTTTTATTTTTTAGGTAATAAATCCTACCTAACACTAACCCCTCTGGTGCATAATCTCTCTGGTGCATAATCCAACAAATCTACTAGAAATACCAAAACTGAAGGGATTTTACGAGATATCCACTATCTGACTTGAAATTTATTTAACAAACACTTGATTTACTGATATTATTTTAGTGTAATTTTAAAAATGGAATCTCATTGAATGAATGCCTTTGAGATAGTTTTTATGAGGTTACTTTAAGCAACCAAAGTTATAATCTGCTGAAGCAAGACCTGTTTTCCATAGAAAAATGTGAAACTTACTGTTTTACAGTTTTGTTTAATCAAATCCAGTACCAGGCCTTCCTGTTACAGTGCCTAAGGCTGAGTACAGTTTAACACGTTTCCCATGCAACGCTTGTCTACTTCAAATACCTCTCAAAAGTGTTATAATCTTTCACATTTATTAGATATTAATGTTAGCAAGAAAGACATCTTAACCACTGGTATTAGACTGTAGCAAATAGTCCAGGCTTTCTGTCTGAAGTGTTTATCTTTAAACGTTGTTAATTAATATCCTCCTTAGTGGATGAGAAGGCAGTATGTCATCCTCATGTGACAGTGGCACATCAGCTAATTTATTTTCAGATACAGAAGCGAAATGGTTATGAATACTTCTCTCTTCCCTGCATCATTTTTTTAGCACTCCCATACATAAATGGACTTTGTCATCCTTTGTCTGTTATACACAGGAAATTTTAAATATTTTTCTGCTTTTGTCCTTTTTAAAACAATTATTCTAAACTCCCTCAAGAGTGTTCTACCCAACCCTAATTTTTAAGGTTTTATAGTCATTCATATTTCCCCTATTAGTTAATGCTTTGATTGTTTTAGCTGAAAAATTTATTTCTGTACTGAAACAGAAAACCTCCATTAAAGCTGGGCTCTTTCTCAAAGACACACTATCGCCAGTTTTTCTCTTCGCCATAAAATATAAGATCAAAACTTTTAGTCACATTTTTCCATTTGAATTTTATTTATACTTGTACTTATCTTTGATAAATAAGGCTTTTTATAACCTAAAGTAAATATTTGACTGTTTGGTGTCTTCCCTTTTCCTTACAATAAAAGCAAATAGATAATAATGATTGATTTACAAACTACCAGTGAAATTACAATCCAGTCATAATATTAACTTTATCCATCAATTTAGGGCTCTAAATGTAACAAGCATATTCATGTTTTATCATTAGGGAAAGAAAAACATAATCAGTAACTGTGATGGACTTCAATGACTTTATACAATGACTGTTTGAATCTCTCCTCCAAACATAAATTTCACAGTAACAAAAAAGTCTCATTTTTAAATATTCAAAACAGTGCTCCAACAGTAACTTTTCTTTTTTGTTCTGACTAACAATCATTAAATATATCCAGAATTCCAAAATTTAGACTACAATATTTAACCATAATTATTACAGCTCTACCTTATATTTTTGTTGGTATATTGATTACATGTAATCAAGAAAAGGGATTTTATCACAACACCACGTTCCCCTAAGTGCATCACTAAACTACTCCAAATGTCCTAAGTAGAATTTAGCCAACCAATTTGACTTGCTTGTAATATCTTAGTACAGACAAATAGTTCCAACCAGGTCTTAGGAAAAAGTTTCTCACCAGTTGGATTTACAACCTCTCTTGCCTGTTGTTTTGGTACTTTTATTTCTATTTTTTTGTATGCATATTTTTCATTAGTTGCAATGAGTCAAAATTGAATAGTAATTTATGGGCAATATTTTTTAACTAATTGATTTTTTTTCCATTTAACAAATTGGTTTGTCTCTTAGTCTGTATCAGACTCGATGCTCTAGCACTCTTTCGTCTGAACTGCATCATTAAGGCTTTTTCAAATAGCCTCCAGATTAATCTGGATCACTCTAAAATGCAGACTACAATCCCAAATCTTGAAGAATACTTGTCAGAATGAATACCTGAACGCCTTAGTGTTTCCTACCTTCTCTCTTTCTCAGAAAACAAAGTTGTCTACTTTTTCTTCTGCAATTTTGCAATTTCAAGGCTATCTACAGACAGCAGTGTGCAACATGTCATTTGCCTCTATTTAAATAATTAATTTGATGAAATTTCCTGTACACTCCATAACCTGGCCTAATTGTGTAAGTATAATTTAAGACTTTCACTGAAGAGAAATTCATATTCCTACTGCATAAAAGTCCTCTTCTGAATTCTCAGTATTTTTAGTAACAAGTCGTCAGGCATTTCAATATTAATAAGTTTGTTGTTTCATCAGGTATTTACTTTACTCAGAGGTTAAATCATGGTGCATTTACAAGAATAAACATTCCTAGCCAAGCTGAGCAAATTCTGGTTGTCATTTTTATCACCAGAAATCTCCAGCCTATTAATTTAGTCTTAACTATTTACTGTCACAATTTTATTATTTTTTCAAGCTACCCATGGCAATATCTCTGTAACCTTTGTTTCCTTGAATACTGCATAGCACAAGAATTTGCATTTCCAAAATAAACATTGTCTCCTACAGCTTTTGGCACAACTTGCTCTTTGCAAACCAGAGCTTTGTTCTGTCTGTGTTTCAGAACAAAGAACACCACAAAAACTTTAGGAGACCCACTAGGAGCATATTAAGAGACATCTGCAGGATCAGAGCAGGACAAGACTGTTCAAAGGAAGCTTTCTTCCCGGTGACAAACATCAGTTAGAAAGCATGTTTTTGACAGGAAAGGCTTCACTTAAACAGTTTTTCTGCAAGAATTAACGGGGAAATAATTTTTGAGATAAATTACATTAACAGATTATACTCTGTACAGATGATAATATAAAGAAATAGTCCCAACAAATACTTGCACTTTGGTAGATCATAAAAACCACTGTGCAAGAAATAAAAGTTATCAGTCAGGTCTGCCTTGTTTTCCAGCAGATTTTCCTTGGTGTCCAGAGCGTGGCACCTTTCATCCAGGCAAAGAGCAAAGCTGAAGCAGTGGTGTCCCTGATATCAGTGAAGTTCTAGTAGATAAAAACATAAAGAGACAATTTATCTTGAAAATACCCTTATTGAGAGCAGTGAATGATCCTCCTGAAGTCATGCTCAGTTTTCCAAGAATTTCATTAGACTAACATTTATCAAAGCACTATCTGAAATATTACCATCTCTGAAACTTATTATAAAAGGGGGAAAAAACTAAGCATAGAAAAGGACACATGGTGGTCCTAATATTTTAAGATTTTTCAATTTGTCTAAAGCTTCTGGATACCACACATCTCTAGTTATCTTTCTAGTAGATGCCTCAACCAACATTTTCTAGATAGAGAAGACAGTAAACATATTTACACACAGTAAACATATTTCCACCTTTCAGAGTGACTTTTCGTTGCTTTCAAATTACTCACTTCTTAGTCAATCTGTTTCTCTTTCACCCCACAAGAAAGAGTCAAACCTGCACATTCATTTCAGTAGCCTTTAAGAGGTGCCACTGCAGGAAAATAAATCCTTAGCCTGGGATCTTCTGCACGTGTGAAAAGTAGATGTGAAGTACTGTTGTGCTCAACCAGAGAGAGTAGCCCCACAAGTAAAAGCAGAGACAACTTGCAGTGTTTGAAAAAAAGGGAGCCTAAGTACTGCTGAAACTCTGCAATGGAAAGCAATATTCCTCCCCTCTGGCAAATCTCCACCACTGGGACCATCCTAATGTTACTGCTGATCAGACATCCATTCCAACAATTTTAGCCTACCAGCAGAGTTTTGCTCCCCTGCCATAAAACACTGCACATGTAAGATAAATTTCCCTGCAGCTCTAAACGTGTATTTCACCCCCTCTCAATTTTATCATTAATTCTTCACTTTCCTTGTCTTTCCTCATGCATTTTTCACCTCCCAACAGTATCTGAATGAATTAAAGAGGAGCTTGTTTCTACACAGCAGATTTCTTCTTCTTTCTTAACAGCTATGCTTTAACCCAGGAAAGATTTTAATCAGGTTTCTGAAGCAATAGCCTTGAATGTAAGCACACCTTCAAGAGAAGAGCATATTTCTAATAAATTTTGAAAATAAGCCATAGGTGAAATAAAATACACTAACCTTAAAAACACCATTCTTCTTAGGTTGGGATTCCAGGTATATATGTGTGTAGCACTCTAATACACATTCAGGAGAAGACATTTGCCTCATCTAAGATTTGAAGCAAGTAATTTGTATATTTCTGTAAACTAAAAGAGTCTGAAACACTCAACAGACCTCACTACGATGACAGCTGCTTTTTTTTATTTTCAGAGGAACTGATGGGCTATTAGCCAGGGAATAGCGGAGCCTGTAGGCTCTTTTAGTTTACTTTGAAAGTGTGACCTATGAGTTTTAAGTTTTATGTGTGTACGTCTATCTCTCACAAATCAACTTCAATTGTGGACCAGTTTTCCTCTGTGTATACGTAGATAATGAATTCTTCCTGTTGCAAAGTGACCTCTAGAGTCTGAAAACTCAGTTTCATTTCAATTTGTGTCAATGAAATGCTTGACAAATTGCTCTATTTAGAGTCACGTATATCCTGGATTTCAGTGCTGAGCCCTGCTATCCCTCTGACAAAGATAAATCAGCCTATAAGGTTTGCCCTGTATCTTCATGTCACGGCTGCAATTACAGATGTGAGTCCAAAGTGTAGTCTCTGAACAAAGCAGGATGCATCACAGTGACATAATATTTACTTTCACACAGATAGAAGGCATTAAGCAACTTGTAGATTTTAGAAAAAGCTTTAAAGAGAACAAGAGAACTAATTAAGGACAACCAAACCTTTTAACGATGTAAATGTATACAGATTTTTTAGGTAAGTTTATACAGTTTTTGGTTTTGTTTTTTTTTGGGGTTTTTTTTTGGTTTGTTTTTTTTTTTTTTTTTTGTGTTGTGGGGTTTTTTTTTTTTCTTTTAATGAAAAAAAATTAGATTCACTGTCAGCTCAGTTTAGCTTTGAGGTATTGATTTAAGACTCTCCAAGACATAAAAAGCATTTCTGGAGGAAAGCCATGTCTTGGCTTCTTTTCTGACTCTACAGGATCCTCCTGGAGGAGCCATAACCCAATCCTCTTTATTAACCAAAAAAGCCCACATCAAAAATTGTGTACTGTTGTTCTGAAGGCAAAGCCTTTACCACAGAGATGATGAAATCATGCACTTATGATTTGCCCTTCCATATGCTGCACTGATAAAAGCCAATGATTCTTGGAGCAGCTGGCACTTGTTCCTTTTCTCCTTGCTCCTAAATTATTTCAGCTTCACCTGTTCCTTTCTCAAATTAGCCCCAAATCATTTTTCATTTCTAGGGTTATGCCAACAGTAATAATTGTACCAACTGGTACCTAGACCTGAGATCAGTGGACCACTCCTTTCTGAATTGGTGGGTTTTAAATTTCTTTGAGTGAAATCAAAGTTTTGCAAAAACTTTGTAAATCCAAAAGATTCCAAAAGAATGTGCAGTTTCCCTAGCAATATATATGCAGTTTACAAACATATACTATTATGTATCTTAGGATTCAAAAAATATATAATATCAGAACCACAAAACTCAGTGATCAATCAAAAACATTAAAAAGTGTGACTAGATTAATTAGAAATGGTCTGACTCCAAAATTCACAGTACAATTGTTACAAAGTTGATAAAACCTTCAAGTACTCACACAAGTAAAAATTGGAATATTTCACTGAAGATCTTTTCTCTTTTTAACAATTTTCATTACATTAAATTCTTACTGACTCTAAAGCCATGAACAGACTTTATCTTGACAGTATCAATTTAGGTCTTATACACAAATTATTAGTTAAAATTACAGTCAAGGTGCATGTTTTTTAAGAATTAACTACTTTTGTTCAGTAAGAGAAAGAAGGCAGATACATGCATGGTTTGCATGCTTCTTCAAGGTGAGAAATAAATCTTTACACTTCTGGTGTTTGTGAAGACCTGAGCATGCAGAGTTTGCAATGCAGCGGTATGTAGTCCACTTGTACTTTTATATTACTCTTCATATTTACTGGGAGAATTTTTTTGGTTTTTTAGAGGCTAGTCTTTCTCCTCAACATTGTTTTCCCTACAGATTGCTGTTACTCCACATTTGCAAAACAGTCTCCTCCTGTTCTGCTCTTCAGCATTACGAGATAGTGGATTCTAAACTTTCCATTAATGGCTTTTAATTCAACTCTCATAAGTCCTTCATTACTGTGTTCAGAAGGAGCTGAACACATCTTAAAACCTTGAGTAAGTCTCATTGACTGAAGGTTTCAAAAATAATTCAGTTCCATCTATCATTTATGATCGAATGTGATTAAAGACATCAGTTTCAATCCAGAATCTCTATGACTGTAAGACGGTCCTAATGCCCTAATCAGCTCCTAAAAATAATTATCAGTAGACAAGATTAATAAGAATACATTGTTTATTTCTGCCCAAGACTTATGTTTGTAAAAGAACAGATGATTAGAATTTTCCATATGTTTCATTATAGGGGACTGACATACAGCTATCAGTGAAAAAGTGTCCCTACAGGCTCTGGAGAACTGAGACAAAGCAGTGTTGAAATCCATGTCTTATTCATCCAAAAGAAATCTCAGAAAAAACACATAACTAAACTTCAGTATATTCCAATCCACCTTCTACAAGGGCATTTTGAAAAATATGAGTATCATTACAAGTAATATTGCTGATATTATTTTCAGGGGAAAAAAAATCCCCTACAACCTCCACAGAATCATGTTTTCTGCAAGCCTAAGTGTTCAGCCTCCTCATATATAGCCACAGTAAATCAGAGCAGACTTTCACGCAGATTGTGTTAGAAAAGGAAAGGAAGAACAACTGGATTTAATGCCATGCTTGTTTTTGTATTTTTAACTGGGGTTAGGATTAAAAAAATTTAAATTATATTGAAGTAGAGTTAAGAAAAGACAAGATGTCATAAGCAGGATCACTAATCAAACACAACCAAGATAATATGCACCATGTCTTGCTCAATGGGAGCTAATTACTATAACGTTAGCTTTGGAGTGTTTAAACAACCATTTCATTATATTTTTTCTACACTGATTAAATTTTCTCAGCATTTATAATGCATCATTACATCTGCTTTGTGCACAGATAATGCACAGCATAGCTGCTTGTTAAAACTTCACTGCTCTCCTTCATAATTTTAAATAAATCTAATTTGAATCGTTTGCATAAAGTTTTTTAAAAAATTGCTAGTCCTTTATTAATACCACATCTTAGGTGTGAAGTGACTAGACTTTGCCACTTGCCAAAAGCAGGTTTTTTTCAGTTTCAGAGCCTCAGGGAACTACACATGCCAGAGGTAAATAATAGTAAGATCTAGTAATGAATATTGGTACAATACAGCAGCCCGCAGCCAAGCTCGGTATGAGCACATGACCTCGCTGCTATTCTCCTTGTTGCTATGGCATTTTGTCTCAGGAGTGCAGTAATGGACAAAAATTAAAATGTTAGTCTTGTGGTTCATAATAATCTTCATGGATGTAAAGAATACTTCAGAGAACAACTAAGGAAATTTCTTGTTGAAACTCTTTCAGGAAGAATTCTATATTGTCTCCAGTAAAAAGCTACACATAGCAAGTGTTGTACAAGATTGTTGCAGTGAAACCTCTGCATCTGCAGGGAAAAAGCTACTTTTTTGTTGTTTTACATTAAGAAATTAAAAAGCTTAGATTTTTTTTCCTTTAACGTTGTGAAGCAACAATTTACATTTTTAATTATTGACCATGCAAGACTTTATTTCTCTTTGCCATTTATGATATACTTTTTTGCATGTTTCCTAGACCTCTTAACTTTAATGTATGAATGTTAAATATTCTACTTGGACAATATAGTTTGCTACCAGGGAAGACAGATCTGGGAATCCTGAGGGCCCTGGCTCCCAAATACACAGTTGTGAATTACCAGGAATTTGAAGTACCATTTCAACTCACAAAGCATTATGAATTTTGGGGGAAACATTGTAATCAGTGTAAAAGCACTCTACTGGAGGACATCAGAAAAAAATATCCATCTTCTTTCATCTCTGTACCAGGAGGTTATAAATCTTGACACACAAGAAGACTCAATCAAAGCCAGGCTCAGCTTTCAGTGACATTGACATAAATCTAAAAAATCTTCTCTCACATTTAAGGAGTAAAGATAGTAGTATCCAAAATATAGATTTACCCTCACATGTTTAATATTGCTATTATTTTAATTGGAATAAATCCTAAAATGGGGTGCTGATGATGTAAAATTTATTTCCAGTCTAATAATTGCTCTTTAATTATTTTACTTCTGCAGTGAACAAAAATTATGACACAAATACTGTTAAATTGGTTATTAATATTTCTGTTCAAGATACTGCATTACCCCAGGAAGAATCCAAATAATAAAGAATTATATTGTCAGTGTAGCTGTGCAAACATTGGTCACTCCAAAGGAATTATCATATGACACAAAACAGTGAATTGGACAAATGATGGAAATACATTAGAGACTCATTTAATAGATCACTGTGATGATGGTAATGATGAACATTTACAACTG